CCAACTTCTGCGAAATTTGCCGCTGACTTATTCTACCATCTGCTTGACCAACTATCCCTCCTCCAACAAAATCTGATAATTCGAGAGAACCTTAAGTTCTAGGCAAAGATAATTAGTGTGCTGACCATTTTCATTTATATAGTGCTCTGTGAACACAAATTAGTTAGCATAAATCAGTTAAACGACGAAAAATTAGGTGTCTATTTACTTGTGACCACGCTGTGTATATACAATGGAAGAAGATGACAAGTTCGACCTATCAGAAGCCAAAATTTTAATGTACTCGAACAAGAGTTATTGAAGAAACTTCTACACAACAAAAGCGATAAAGGAGAGATCTAGAAAGGCAATAAAAATAAAGATCCTGTCTCTAACTTAGTTGGGAAATATTATGCTATATTTAGTATATTTCAGGTTTGATCTGATTTCACGCGATTCTTTGTACCTTCGTACAATATGATTTAATACTTTCTTGAACGTGTAAGCAACATACACATGCGCTTAACTACAAATAAAAGGAAGTAGAAGAAATCCTTAAAGACTGGGCATCAAACCGCAACCAATCCCGGATTCATCTAGAGAGGACTACAAAACAGCGCTTCATACGAGGAAAAACTCGGAAGTTTTAAATTAATTAAGGTTGAAATACTACCTTAGTAACAACGGGAAAATCCCATAACACAGGGTAAAAGAAGCGTAAATTCCTGCCAGAGGCGAAGAAAATACACCAGTCAAGGTTAAAAGCAACGAATCCGTCTGTTGGCCTAGTTAGAGTTGCATCTCTGTATCCTTTCTAGCCGGCCCGGCATGGCCAGGTGGTTAAGGCACTCGACTCGCAATCTGAGGGTCGCGGATTCGAATCCCCGTCCCACCAAACATGCTCGCCCTTTCAGCCGTGGGGGCATTATAATGTGACGGTCAATCCCACTATTCGTTGGTAAAAGTGTAGCCCAAGGGTTGGCGGTTGATGGTGATGACTAGCTGCCTTCCCTCTAGTCTTACACTGCTAAATTAGGGACGGCTAGCGCAGATAACCCT